CAAAAATATGGTTGTAATTCCTTTGACCACATTTTCCTTACATTCCATTATATTTCCCTCATTTAAAGTGTGACCTGAAAGTTGGTGCAAATAATTTTCATGGCAAAAACTTTTTAGCCGCATCTAACGAGCTGGTGAAGAAGCAACAACAACAACACGATGGAATTCCCTGCAATCCCCTCACAACTTTTAGCGAGCATAATTTCAAACAATTTAGTTAAGTTCCAGTGGCATTTCATGCTGTTTACATAAAGCAAATACACGCAGTGCGGGGAGAGGATCAAGGGGGAGGGACTGCGAGGAGGTGGGAAAACCCAGGATCAGGGACACGCGCAATATAAACGCTGGGGCAAGGTAAACGAAGTAAATTAAACAGCAGGCACAACAACAACAACTGAAAGTGCCCAACAGTGGGCGTCGCGGCTAAGAGTGTGGAATGGGAACACCTTACCAGGCAGCCTACACTCGGAAAACCTGAGAAATTACTCCGTAAATAAGCAGACTTTTGGCGCCAAAAGGCAAAGCAATAAATAGTAAAATCCAAATATGGTGAATATTAAATTAGTTTCTATTTACCACGTCACAAACAAGGCAAACAGACATAATATAACCATTATCATAATCAAATGTTATGTAAAACAATTCTTATCGGTCTTGTTTTGCCTAGAGATAAAAATTCGCGTTTTATCATATCACATTAGATCAAGTCCAGTGAACTTACTGTGGCTCTTAAACGAACAAAGGTTAGTAAGTATCCATGCCGGTCACAGGATATACCTTATACTGTGGCATTTAGGACTTCTATTTTATTTCTTCGAGTGCACGGCAAGGAGAAGCAGGAAAGCAACAACAAGCCAACAACCAGCGCAATAACGAATAACAAGCCAAAGGCATGCGAAACAGCAAAAAGCAGGAGAAACCCAATAACATAAAAGCAAAAGAATTTTTGCCAAAGGATGATGGTAAACCTGCAGAGCGGGTAAGGGGGCCGTGGGGTGGGAGGTGCGGTTGGTGGACAAGTAGAAAAACCCGCTTACAACAGCGAAAAAAAAAGAAACGCCAAGCCAACCAACGACCTTGATAAGTTTCACGGAGAGAGCAGAAGAGCAAGAGAGGACCCCACAAAGGAGCTCTCTGTCGCGGCGGAAAAAAGGGCGGCTTGCTGTTTGTTGTTGCCGCTAAGGCCACCACAATCGATGCACCAGTGGTGAGTTACGCTCTCAGTCTCTCTCTCGCGATTTGGTCTCTCTCATCAACAAGTGGCCCAGCTGTGAGTGGGCTAGACGAGGGGGTGGGATGAGGTGGAAGCCAGCCAGTTCCTAACTCAATTCGCTTTTTTGTGTCGGTGTGTCAGAAAGCTTGCTCTCTCTCCTTCTCTCGGTCTCGCACGCGCACTCTCTTTGATAAACAGTCAGTGGTGAGTTTGTTTTCCTCTTTTTCAGCTTAATTATCATATTCTGCGTTTTATTATTGAATTTCTCAAAGGTATGCGTGTGTGTGTGTGTGACGCATGTGTAAAGTGCGGCGCAGAAATTGATAGAACAATCAATCCCTCGCCCGCCCTCCTTTCCCCTAACTCCCGCATAGAAAGCAAATTCCGCCAGTTAGTCTGTCAAATATGTTTGTTTGCCTTGGCTCTCTTTGCCTCTCTTCTTGCCCTCTCTGTTCGCAGTCAGCTGCTGCCAAATCAGCTGTCCGATTTAAAGCAAATTCATTTAATATTATTTAACAATCTAACAAACAAACAGAGAATATAAAGCGGAAGAGGAACGGGGAAGAGGAAAGAAAACATGTGCATGGAAAATTTTAGATCTCGTCTTTGGTAAACAACGAAAAAAGTGGAGACGCCAAATGGCTAAAAATTAAATGCAGAGCAACAAAGACAACAATTGCAAAAACAACAACAAAACTGCAACCATTGTTGTTACCTGCAACGTGCCTGAAATTTCAAAAATGCAATATCAAATCAACGCGGAACCAGAAAGGCTGGATACTATTTTGAGTAGCCGCCCCTTTGGATACCCCGTAAGGCGAAATATATATTGAAATCATTGATAGGTTTGAATTTTTTTTATATGTACATACATATATACATATTATATCAGTTTTAAATATAGTTTACATTTATACATCAAATCAATTGTATAATTTAAGGTCTAAGACATGAGCCTCGCCTATCCTTGATGCTTTTGACAATCCATTATACCCACTGCTAGGGTATTTCCAAGCGCCGTGCTGCACTTGCAACTGCCAAACGAAACCGGACTCAACTGGACGCACGCCCCTCGCGCATACACACAGCAAACACACCCAGTGGACAACAACAATTCAGCAAACCACAACACAACACACACACTAGACAACGAGCAACGACGCCTAGTTGAGCATTTTGAACGACAACGACAACGGCAGCGGACAAGCCATAATTAATCAGGCCTGGCCGGCAATATTTTACAAAAAACGAAACGAAAATTCCTCAAGCTGCTGCGGATCCTTAACGTACAGCAACTGCCAACTAGAAAAGTGAGGGGAAAAGCGGCCACAATCTGCGCAGAATTCCTTGATACTTTGTTGCCATTTTGTCAATTTGGTTTTATCATCCAAATAGGTTTGTTTTTCGAGTGACACGTGCATTTCCCTGGTACTTGCTGCGTTCCATTCGGCTGACTCAATCGCACACTTCCTAATCACAAACAAAATTCAAACAAATAAATGGCTTAAAACTTGTTTCTTTCCATCGCAACATTAATTCGCATATTTTTACAAATTATATTAAAGCTCATACACATGTGTAAGTAAATACAGAGACACAGATGGAGTATTAGAAGTCGACGACAGCAACAACAAAGCTAATTCTGAATTTTTCGTGTACTTTGAAAACTTGTTTTATTTATTGACTTTTTGTTTGATCTCCTCGCGTTGCTTGTAAGCTTATTGAACAATTATATTATGGCATAAAAAGTGACAATAGCTCGATAAGCTATATTTGTTTGCATGTGCCAACTGGAAAAAAGGGTTTTCTGTTAAATCCGAGGGTTCGAATTCAAGACTTTATAATAGCGCAACAATTGAAATGCCAATCAAAAGAAACTCCAGACACCTTAATGGAACTTTCCATCAACATCTCTCAATAATTATTAAGTATGATAAATATTCCGCAATCATGGTATCGTCTTGAGCCACAAAAAGCTTAAAGCCATTATAAAAGAAAGTTATTCTTGGATTATCTCATTGAAAGACATATTTTAATATTTTTCCTAGAGTATAGTATTAAGGCTTATTAAAAGTTTAGCAATAATCGTTAAACTGTAAAGAATCATAGAATAGCTTTAAAATCACCATAAATAATCAGAAACTAATACATTTTTTTATCTCAAAAACTATAGTTTAGAGCTCGCAGATATTCTATAAAACAATAAATGATACCTCACTATTAAGATTGAGTTAAAATCGTGATTGGCAAAATTTACATTCATGAGAGGAAGATTTTCCCCAACACACAGTGGAAACTTTGTGTGTTTTAAACATTTAGCATGCAAATAAAACAATTACAATAATTAAAAGAAAGAAAATCCCAGTTACCCGAACAGTTATTTTGTAACAGCATTTCGTTGGGGATTTCTCGCACACACATACACAACGCGAGCGCATTGCAAGTGTCTGAGGTAATAATTGCTAATAAGTGTTACTCAAGTTCTCTCGTTTCTTGCAGTGTAAGTGGGGGAGGCAAGGCCCGCCTCTTGATTCTTTTGACTCTCTTCGTCTGCCCGTCAATTGTCGTCTCATCAAGATTGAAGAGAGAAGGAGGACTAGGGGGGAGGGAAAAGACAGGCCGCAAGAGACTGCCACTTAACTCTATGCTGCATTTGGGATAAAACGATCTGATATGCAAAACAAAACTATTAAGTCGGAATTTCGAGTTTGAACCGGAACCAAAACAGATTTTTGGGGAGGGAAAGGAGGTTTTTTCACCTGTTTTCTTGCGAGCATCCAAAAACAATGCAATGCAATTGTTACAAGAAGTGCAAGCAAAGAAGAGGCAGAAAAACAGAAAGGCTTAATTCAACTTACCGTCGCACAAGTTCAAGGCCAAGTGTCCGAGTGGCTCTCTTGTTCGCTGTCTCTCTCACTTTGCTTTGCAGCACTCTCTCTCCTCTCCCAGAGTGTGGTTGTTGTTGCTTGTTACATGTAAAAGAACTTTCGTTTTCTAGCTGCAGGCTGCAGTTCACGGGGGCGGGGGTGCTTTTAGGTGGGCAAATCGCCCCACATGCAACTACCGTTCCTTGTTTGTTGTTGTTTTTCTTTTGCCTTTTCGCACTTATGTTTTGTAAATTAATTAACAACACTCGCACTCACTTGGCACACACTCGCACGCATACACAGCCATGTTTTTCATGCGAGCGCGCGCTTTGAGATAAGCAAAGCAATTTATTTGCTAAAATTTACTTTTGCGCGCTGAGCCAAACGTGGGCCAAATAGGGGGGCGCGGAAAGAGAGAGACAAAGAGAGAGGGGGCCAGTGGGAGAGGAGAACTCACCACACACACACTCACGGAACCGACGTAAGCGCACGTTTTCCGTCAGTTGGGGATAATGTCAGCGATCTGGCCGATATTCAGTTATTTCCCGATTCTCCCAAAGTCCGAGTTTCGAAATCAATGCGATCAATATCAATTCAATCAGATCGTTTATTTATGGCGGCGACCGAACAAGACGAAAGCTACAACAAATCAGTGGGAGATAGAGGTGGAGAACATCGGGAGCTTTCCCTAAAAAATCTCAAATCCAAATGTGCCCCTAATTCGATATTTTTTGATGTTCTAACCACAGCCACACCTAAACCACACCTGATACGCAAACCACATCTAATACTACAACCTCTAGTCATCCAGACGAAAGTAAAAGTACCGATAAAACGCTATCGGAGATTTGCCACCTCCGTAAGGAAGTATACAAATTTGTCATTTTTTTTAAATAGCCAATTTCGAGAGAGAACAATAATTTAATAGTAATATGCAAAATGTATTTCGTGTTATTATACAAAACATATTGAAGCAAACGATTAAAACTAGATAAGAATTCTCTGACCTCCCTAGGATTTTCCACCAGAGGTTCTAGTTATCCAGACCTTGCAGAGCATCCGCAGTGACTTTCACCTCCAGCATGATACCTCTGTGGGCGTAGGCTAGACACAATAGCTTTTTCCAGCTTATGAATACTCCGTAGCCGTAGTCGTCCTCCTCCGCATTGAATATGTGGTAGATGGGTCCTTTGACTAGGTAGTACTCCACGCCGGGCACGTTGTTCAAAAGCCGAAACTCAATGGCGGCGTTGCACGACCAGTTGGGAGAATCGTGCTTCCCGCTGCAATGCACGAAGACGCCCAGCCCCATACTATTTGGTATCACCCGAATGCTCCACTGCATCGTTCTGAGTGTAAAGGGCGGCGATTGAACCATTTCTTCCAGCATTCCCACATGGCGTACAAAGAAACGATGTGTGGCATCAGCCCTCGATGGGTTTACTGGGTCGGCAAGACTCAGATTTTGGATCCAAATCTCCAGTGCCGCGTCCACCTCTTCGTTAGACTGGTTGGTGGTCATTTTGGTCGTATTCGACAATGAAACTATAGTTAGGGGCGGAGATCAGTTGCGGATACGGTATTAGCAAAAATTAATGGCTTACTCGTCTTTGTGAGATTGCTCTGTTGGCTGCTGTAAAAGTGTGCGTCATATCGAAGTCGCAAAAAGATTTTCCAAGACAATATTACAGATGCATCGAAACCGGCCGGATGCGAAAGTTGCTTTACTTCGACTCCATTATTCAAAACTGTTATTTTATCCATAGAAATGTTATCGAATTGCCAAACTTTTATCTGTATTTAAAAAAAAATAAATATCGAGTTAAACTATTTTTGGGATATTTTGCCGCCAATGCAGCGGTCACACTGCCAGAAAAACAAAAACAAACTCATTTATAAATAAATTTAAGTTTAACAATAGTTTTTACAGCAATGGTAGATTAGCTTTAAGCGCATCAAACTCCTTCTTTTCCAAGGCTTTCAAGTGTGTTCCAGAATAGGGCGATTTGAACTCCAAATCCCGATGCTTGTTGACCAAAACCTTTTGTTCCGAGTACATAAGGTTTATTTGCTGCTCGATTTGGTCTTGATCTGCGAAAAATAGTTGTTTACATCCTGATATAGTAAGACGACAGTTTGCTCACCTTTTTTCAGCAGTTCCAGGGCCTTCTCCCGCTGCACTTTGACCAACATGCTGCCAATGGTGATCCAAACTTTCTTGTCCTCCGATTTATTTATCAGCCGCATTGCCTGACGCGTATCCTGGCGCCGTTTGTCCATCGCCTTCAGCTCTAGCTTGTTGGAGAGAATCTTGTCGGCCAGCTCCTCGGTCTTCGTAATTAGTTCGATGCTTTTGTCTAGGTCTGATTTCGACATTTTCGCAATATTTAAATCAAATGCGGAAGTAAACAAAAATTCAAGAGCGACTCAAAAATGCACTAACGCCTCACAACAGCTGTTTAGGCAACGAACGTAGTGTGTCTGGAAGAAAGGGGGTCTACGATTATTTAAAGTGATTGCTTTTAAGGACGGCTGAGATATAAAGTTATTGAGTTTTATATAATTATATAACTTTAAAGAGCCAGATTATAGGTTTAACAGGTGTTTCATGCGATTTTAACATGCATTTTTACGGCCACACTGGAAGGACCCCTGAAAATTTCATCTACCTACGCCCTTGCGCACATCTCATTCAACAGTCAATAGTTCGAGACGCAAGCAAAGATGGCCGCGTCATAATCAGTTATATCGAGTCGAGACATTTGTTTACGAGCACAGAGTCGGAGTCTGATCTCTAGTTCGGCCTTAAGCAGCTGCAATTCCCGGAGATATATATATTCCACAACGATGCATTCCACCGAAAACGCCAAATACCTGGGCAGCCGCAGCTCCCTGCCAATCTGTTGCCTGCTCCTCCTCCTCCTCGCCGTCGTCCTGCAGCCAGCAGCGTCTCAGGTGAGTCGGCAAGCCATTGATTAGGATGCGCACACGAAGAGCATCAATTGCTGGCGTCACGCGACTGGAATCGGGAAACATATGTTTGCGCTGTGCGCCTACAGATGTTTTGCATATTGATTTTACTGCAATGTGTGTGTGTGTGTGCGTCGGAGCGGGTGCTCCGTGGCATTTTTTTCGCATCCGGCTAATCTTTATTTTGGAATTCACCCATTTTAGACTCAAAGTTCGCAGCGTTATCTGCAGAATGTGGACATCAACAATGCCAATAACGAGCGATTGCAGCAGATTCTCAAGGGTTCGGGAGCAGGAGCGGCACCCGCGCAGATTTGGCCACAGCCGCCCCTAAAGGCGATACCCGATGTCAAGACTGAGCTGGCCAAACTGAATAGTAGTGAGTAGTTGCCTGCCAAAAATCTAGATACCATTTAACTCTCTCCTCCTTACCACTCCCAGCTTATACATACCAGAATGACTGGCCGGCGAACAATGTGAAGCTGGGTGCCGTCACGGCCGTTAGTTTCGACAAGGCCGGTAACGTGGTGATCTTTCATCGCGTAAACCGCGTATGGGGGCAGCAGACCTTCGACAACAGGAACGTCTACCAGGAGCAGTACCTCGGACCCATCAGGGAGAGCACAATTCTGGCGCTGGAGCCCGCGACAGGAGCGATGAAATACGATTGGGGCAAGAACTTGTAAGGGCTCTCAAAACAAATTCATTTATGAATTTTTAACTTAAAAGAAATCTCCTCTCACCCCCTAGCTTCTACATGCCGCACGGCCTAACCGTGGATCCCGAGGACAACGTCTGGGTGACGGATGTGGCCATGCATCAAGTCTTCAAGTTTCCGCCCCGCGGAGGCGATGGAAAACCGCTGCTCACGCTTGGCACGGCCTTCAAACCCGGTTCCGGCAAGAAGTTCTGCAAGCCCACGTCTGTGGCGGTGCTGGACAATGGGGACTTCTTTGTGGCGGACGGATACTGCAACGCTCGCATCCTCAAGTACTCGCGTGCGGGTGAACTGATTACCTCTTGGGGTCAGAACTCCTTCTCGGGCGTCTCGTACGACGTGGCGCCTCAGAATTACTTTGCTATCCCCCACGCCCTGACCCTTGTTCCAGAGTTGGAGCTGCTCTGTGCAGCGGACCGCGAGAATGGGAGGGTGCAGTGCTTTTTCTCCAGAAACGGCACCTTCCATTCGCAGTACCACAGCCAGCTGATAGGCGATCGCCTGTTCAGCATGGCCTACACCCCGGCATCGGGTGAGTGGATAAATCTTCTGCTGATATCGGTGTTTATGAGGTGTTACGAGAATCTCTCATGAATTCTCATGCTTCTCGATGCAGTCTTTTCTCATATGCAGTCTTTTCACCCCTGAATATATCCCTTTTCCGCCACAGGTGGCCAGCTGGTCATAGTAAACGGACCCACCGCCGAGCTGGGCATCCATCCGGAGCACTATAATGAGGTGCACGGCTTTGTACTGAGCATGCGCAGCAAGCAGCTGGTCTCCAAGTTCGGGCCCAACAATCTCGAGTTCCATAATCCGCACGACGTGGCCGTCACCACCGATGGCAATGAGATCTACGTGGCCGAGCTGGCTCCCATGCGCATTCACAAGTTTGTGCACAGATCGCTGACGAAACCGTTGTCTCTGTCGGCCACAAAGGACACCAGTAACATCGGGACCGGCAAAGCTGGTCAGGAGAATGCGGCGCCGGGACAGACGGTACATCATCCCAGCGGTAAGGCCATACTGGTGGCCTCACTCATGCTGTTGTTCGCCGGCTCCACCTTTGCTCTGGCTCTGCTCTTCGCCCGTCGGCGGAAACGAGGTAACCCAGCGATCAGCGCCGCTCCGGCCAGCGACCTGGTCTACCGCAAGTTGACCGCATCCAACCAGAGTCTGTGCTAATCCTCAGTGCTAACCCAATCGAACCATCAATCACTCAATGTCCTGTGTTGTGCTGTCGTACACATGTATCCTATATTTACATATATGTTTAGTTATATTTTCTAGTGGTTTACCTTTTAAGTTTACTTGGAATCTCTTCAATCCGGCCACATTCCTCCTTCCATCCACTAAATTGTACTTAATTCTTATTTTGTGTTGCATTCTTTTATATAAAATACATGAGCATAAACAATTTACGTTAATCTTTAAGCACTCTGTTTTCGTTTTCGGTTTGTTTCAGTGCACGCCAGATCGCAGATCTTTGCATGAACTACCGGGGAATCTGTATAGTGTTCTCTGTGCCCGTGAATGTGCCATGGCGATAGTTATTGTTAATCGTATCAACCTCCTCCTCCCAACATTTCCCACAGGTTGCCTGCCATTTGGGTCTCGGAGCCGTCGGCATGCGTGGGAAAAGAGCGATGGCTTCAAGCTGGGCGGCCTGCTTGATCGGGATCGGAACGGATTCGAGAAGCTGGACCAGCAGGCCAGCGACGAGGAGCAGGACACGACGACGACGCTGGCGAGCGCCCAGTATGCCTAGGGCCCCCGATATGGGCCAGGACCAAGACTTATGCAAGCTACCAAAGCATTCCTAGTTCTAACTACCTGTACCTCATTGACCACTACCGATTTGGTTGTACTCTCGTGCTCTGTGTATAACTTTCACTTTGTGTTTCTTTGTTTTTGTTTAACATGATATTGGGCCCATTACGCAGAAGATTTGGAGTTTTTGCTATGACTTAGGCAGCAGTAAATTCCTTTAAAAAGCCAAATACAGTTGAATTCGGAAACCGAATTTGGTATTAACCCATTTCTGCGGAATGCGTCCCATATCTTCGTTCGAAATGCGATTAATTTGCCAAATTTTAAATACATAGTCTTATGAATCTGTCATCGTTTGGTATTTATTCAATGTCTGCAGCTAACCTTAACTAGAATTCGTTATATAAATATGTGTGTAACTCGCATATTGCATACTGTCTGTATCGACTAATAAGGCCCCATGGTGGCGAATATCTCTGTCCCTTCAGTCCCCGCCGGCGGTTATCCGAACAGATCCCAGAAAACCGCAAGTCTATATTCTGGCTGGCGGTCAGACAACCTCGGCGAGGAATCCCTCGTTCTCCTCCGTCACAATTGAATCAATGTTGTAGAAGATGGCGTGCAAGGCGACCACGAAGCAGGAGGCACCCAGCGTCCAGAATAGAACCGCCCCGGCACCCACCATAAACAGGATGGGAGCGGTGGCCAGATTGAGGGCGATTATCTGCTGGTACGGCGTTAGTTGGTAGCTCCCTATGACGATGTTGGAGTTGCGCACGCGTAGCTTGTGGCAGCCAAAAGCGGCGGCCACCATGACCAACAGTATGAGAGGCGCTGTGATGCTGGAGGGGATTACAGATATATAACCATCAGCTGCAACTGGGGGGGATTAGGAACACTCACAGGCAATAGATCATCAGCACGAAAAATATGAAGATGTAATTGGCCTGAAAGTAGTTGAGGTTGCGCGTGACGCGGTTGTTCAGTCGCTGCATGCTGACGGCAGTCTTAAAGTTGTTGATGTTAAAGAAGACCGTCCATGGACGCAAAGCGTTGCGCACCGTCTGGGCCACTTCCATGGGCGAGGGCAGATTGCTCAGGCTGCTTGAGAAGATACAAAATGAGGGGTCATTGGGCGGTTCCTGCTGAAAGGTGCATCCACAACTCACCCCTGCATGTCTAACGAGAACCTGGGGGAGCCCGACTGCTGAGGCGGCTGCATGTTGCCGGATACATTTCCACCGGGCTGAGCCATTTTATTATTCGCTATTGTTTCGTTCGTTTCTCAGTGACACGTCGTCGCTTCAATCTGCGTATCTTCTTTTACCATTACTCGCTGCCGGCGTCCTACAAGTTGCCGTTGTATCTTCGCATTCGTTTCGCTGGCTCTCGAGATTAGTTTGGCGGCGATCGGATGCTGTGGCGGAAGGGTTAGAAGCGGACGTCCTCTACATGAAGACTGGGGCAACACACACACAGCTGCTTTCGATAATGCTTATCAGAATTCACTGCTAATTTGCTTAGACATTGTTTTATTTACCAAACAAAATAAAAGTTTCGGGAAAACTGATGTGGCAGATGGTTCTAGGATGCCCAGATGAGATTAGTGTGACCATTCCCGCTCCAGTGGAATCACACTAAAAATTACAACGAAATAGTTTTTTTTTTTTTTTTGGAGCACACCAATTCTCTCCAAATGACCGTTTTCAAAATTTCTCGGATTGTGACTTTTTATTTTCATTATTAGCAAAATCAAAACATGTAAGTTTATTACACCCTTGAGGAGTATTTTAATTTTACTAAAAAGTTTGCAATGCAGTAAAGGAGGCCTATTTTGACCCTATAAAGTATGTATATATTTTCTTGAGCAGCATCAACAGCCGAGTCGATCTAGCCATGTCCGTTTCTACGCAAACAACATAGTCCCTCAGTTTGAAGCTATCTGAATGAAACTTAGCATATAGTCTTCTGAATACTCTCACTGCTATAAATGTCGGAACGGACGACTATATCATATAGCTGCCATAGGAACAATCAGGTAGTTAATAGAAAAAAATTATAACTTAGTTGTTTTTCAACGTATTTTTGTCTACTTTGAGATCAGTTTGTGTGAGTGTGTGTTTTTAGCATTTAAATTTATAAATCTATTTTAAATTTGAAATCTATATTATTTTATTTTTTTTATACGATTAAACTTTCTTTGTTTTTTAATTTTATCAAAACCAAATTATTATGTATATGCTATGTATAAATCTACAACTTTTATATATATTTCTCTTTATTGACCAGAATGGATCGATTCTTAATGATCCAATTGCAAACTACAAGGGTATACAAACTTCGGCGTGCCAAAGTTAGCTTCCTTTCTTGTGTTTGTATTTCTTTAATTTCAGTAGCAATCTAATGGAATTTTTTGTTTGAAAAATAGTTTACAACAAATTATCTTTCGAAAAAAGAAACCATTTTTTGTCTTATTCAAGTTAAAAATAAAACTACTTTGAAATACATAAAATCAAAAACTAATGCAATTCAAATATTTGGGGACGGTTTTAACAGGCCAGCATTTATTGACCAAAGCCAGTCTGAATAGTTTAAATAAATTACAAATAACATTGCCTGTTTTCTGCCTCTTCATAGTACAACAAATATATTCTTAAAGCTTGAGTTTTATTGTTTTTTAAATTAAAAGTAATGTGAAAAACTTGTCGCCTGAATGCGATAGCTTTCTCTGCAACGTTCACCTCAGCTATCTACCGCTTTTCTCCGCCACCCACAGCCTGGTCACACTACAGGTGATGCTTGTGGAAATCTGCTCGATGTAGAGTTTTTATTTTGGAAAATTCCCGAAACCTGAGGCTGGAACGAAGTCGTACCTAGCACAAAGCCGATCCGAAGCACAAACCCTCAAATAGCAACCAATTCCGAGACATGGCCGACGACTGGGGTGAGTGTTCTCTGGGCGGAGGCGGGGCGGGCGCTGCGTCATCTGCGGCGGACAATAAACGTGGTCGCCGTCGTTGTTGTTGCTGCTGCTGCTGCTGCTGTCGTTGGAGCGCCATGCAACCAACCTTGATGCGTATTTTTAGCCGTATTCGCGGCAGCTAACCGTATTTCGAACCCCTAACAATCTTGTGCTTTTCCCGTGATGTGGCAGAATCCGCTGCGGACAGCGAAGTGGTCATCCGCCCGAATGCCGTTAACAGTGTTAACAAGTGGGAGGGAGAGGACGACGACGAGGATGTTAAGGTGCGCATACCAATGTCGCGGCGAGACGAAAGCTAAAGCTAGCAGACAAACAAATGCAAGAGAGCTCCCAGCTCCCACAAACTTGTTTTGCGTGCGCCAGTTTTCACTTTCATTTCGCTGTACACGTGTTCACTTTTTGGGACCGTCACTAATTCCTTTGTATTTCGCAACGCAGGAGAGCTGGGAGGATGAGGAGGAGAAGAAGGACGAGGAGAAGCCCACGAAAACAGAACCTCCAGCCAAGCCCAAGCCGAGTAAGGCGCTGAAAGCCAAGTTAGAGGAGCAGGCGGTAGGTGTAACCCCTTATGCTATTGATGTCAAAGCTATAACACAACATTCACCGCACAGCGACTCGCGGAGGAGGAGGAGGAGAAACGATTGGCCAGCATGACCGCCGAGGAGAAAATGGCCGAGAAGCTGAGGCTGCAAAAGATCCAGGAGGAGTCGGACTTCAAGCACGCCCTGGACGCCTTCGGCGTGACGAGTACGAGTACTGGCGGCCTGGACGCCTTCAATCCGGAAAGCAAAGAGGAGTTCAAGGAGTTCGGTGCCACGCTCAGCTGGAAGGTCGGCCAGTACCGCGAGTCGCCCCATTTCCCGCAATTCATCGAGGATCTGGTGCGGGGGTTATGCGTGAATCGTGAGTGATCGATCGGCTTTGAGCTTGGCCCATAATCTGATTGTGTGTTTTCCGCCTTATCTATCTAGTGAGCGCCGCTGACATCAAGAAGGTCAAGATGAGCGTGGAGGTTTTGCACTCTGAGAAGCTCAAGCTGGAGAAGGCGAACAAGAAGCCCGCCGCCAAGGGCAAGGGAAAGGCCACGCTTCGCACCGAGAACGACGTGAGTCCCAGAATTATAATAAAAAACGATCCAAATTTCTAATTAAACGTCTCGTTTGCAGGACATTGACGGCTACCAAAAATACGGCAATGACTTCACCGACGACTACGACGACTTCATGTGAATAGGATCTATATAGTAGCCCGCATATATCTAATTATTGAATACATATAGTTGCTTGTTGAAGAGTTCTTCTTGTTAGAAATGCTGCGCAGGAATTTGAGTCCTTTGTTGAATTTAAAAATAGCAGAACCTATATAAATATGTATATATATATTTATATGACCGTACACGAAATATACACACACACACAGAGTCAAGTCAGGCAATCAAGAAACCTCAATTTCGAACGATTTCGAAACACGCAACACCAAAACTGAAGGATATTTAGGTAACTGTAAAAAAGGAAACTATCAAATTATGGCAACCCATACATATGTCGTACTCGGAATGGCTTCTTGTGTAATAATTCACTTTTGTATAAAGAATTAAAAGTACAGAGCGATATTAAACGATAAACATTAATTTTTAATTATAAAGGGTTCCGGGAAATTGCACGGGAATAAGATCCTAGCAAACACTAACTTCATTTATGATATTTAAAACGATAGTTTTGCGGATTACAAGCGGAGAAAACGTCTGATTCAAAATCAAAAATCACCTGTCATGGGTTTTGTGGCAGAAAATGCTATAATTTTCTGAATCCGAATAAGATTTCGATTGCGGACCTTTTACGACATCATTTTCAGTTATAATACTGAGAATTCGCAATACTCGTCCGTTTTCGTATCCGTTTTTCAGCATTTAGCGAAACTAATGCGGAAAGTCTAATTCCTTTTCCGTATTTAATATTTTTAGCAGACATTTTGCGGATCCATCCGCACTACGTCCGCTTCTTTGTCTGCTGGGAAAACATGATCACTGATTAGGTATAACTGATCAAGTATCTGGCTAGAAGAAGCTAAAAACAAAATGCGGATTTATTTACCAAGTAGAACATTTTAATGTCTGTTGTATTTATTCGCAAGTAACGAATTGATATGCATATTAATTTTTCTTTATTAACAACCTATTGACACCACCAGATTCCTATAACATTTATATGTAGACGAAATGCTGCATATTTCCCTAGAAATTTCGAATAGTGTAATGCAGCCCTTTAAAGTGTGACCAGCTGTTGTGCAGGGGAAAATTGACTTTGAGTTGTACCGCGTGGAAATCTATAAACAAATGAGTGAATTCAACAAGTACTGCGAGGGTAAATATTTGAATTTCGTCAAGACAAAACCCACCTACAATCCTGCAACTTGCAGAAGCCGCAGACGTGGACCTGCCCAGCTCGGAGGATGAGGAAGAAATCGTCGATGAGGACACATGCAACGCCCAGGAGCTGGCCGACAAATTCCAGATCAAGTACAAGCCGCTGGACGAATGCGGCGTTTCCCTGCAACGGGAATATGTGCTTAGTCTGGACGCTGACAGGGGATTCTCGAGGATAGCGGCGGGACTGTCGAGTTCTGCGGTGCAAATATTTAACATGGACGACGGTGGCAAATTGGCCAACTTTAGCTTCTTGCCGGCCACCGAAAAGAAGGTTGTTAGCACATGCGGCGTTAAGTTCCTGGACGACGGACCTGACAACGTACTGGTGGGCACCACCGATGGCTACGTGCGCCTTTACGACCTGCGTGTAAAGGGCGAGCTGGCGAGGTTCCACTACGAGAAACAGTCCAATGAGGTGCCGCCGGCACCCAAGTCGTTCACTGCCTTCGACAGAAACGCCAACGGTAGGGTTATCTGCTGTGGCACGGACCAGCACATGAGTAACGTGTTCCTGGTGTTCTTCGATGTCCGGGAGCGCCGACAGATGGGTGTCTACTGCGACAGCCACGAGGACGACATCACTTCGGTGCGGTTTCATTCTCAGAATCCGGATCTTCTGACCACTGGCAGCATCGAGGGACTGATCAATGTGTTTGACATAAAGCAGCCAGACGAGGACGAGGCCCTGTTGAACACCGTAAACACGGAGAGCAGCGTGGCTCGCCTGAGATGGCATCGGAACGTGTACGACAAGGACATTATATCTTGCATCACGACCACGAGCGACTTCAAGAGCTACGAGTGCGAGGAGGGCGACGAAGTACACTCCTTCGAGCGCCCAGATGTCACAGCTGCCATTAGGCGCAAGAATGCAGCCAACTTTAACCTTATCAATGCCCACAACCAGGAGGACGGCGAGGTGTTCCTCTTGGCGGGCACAAACTTTAACAAGGGGTGAGTTTCACAATCGATCTTCCTTGAAATTCCAAGCTAATACTCTTTTTCCAGGGAAATCCTGCGATCTGTTAACGTTTCCGCCAAGAAGGAGCTCCAACCGCTGGCCAATTTCCAGGATAACAAGCAAATAGTGAGGGACAGCCTGTTTGATTCAAAGCGAGGATTGCTGGTTACGGGTGGCGAATCCGGCATTGTCACCGTTTGGTCAGCGGAATCGAGTGGAAATGCCCCAAGCAGTGACAAGTTGAAGTCTAAGAAGGAAAAGAAGTCGCGCAAGAAGGCGCCCTATTAAATGTTATTATTTTTACAATAACCTTCTCAATGGTCACGGCCTTGATGTTCTCTTGTTGGGGCTGGTGTTCGTGATAGTCGCCAGATGGAGGCGCCCTTGGTTAAATTTTCTTTCAAAATGAACAGCTTGTTCCGGCTTTGGTTTTAGCCAACATCTATAGGGAATGGCATGGCATGACTTCAGGAGTTGGGGATTAACTGATATCCCATTTAAAATAGTGGAAAGTGGATGGAAACTTGTTGTACATCGACCTACTAAAATTAAGATGGTGAGGATCTTTGAGTAAAGCGTTTTGGGGTTACAAAGAATTGTTGTTTCACGTTCCGTGAATAAAAAGACAGTAGACCCTCTTAGAGACTATATTAAGCATTTATTATTTATATCGATTGTTAATTACAGCACTGCTGTATTTTAAAATCGAATTTAGGCTAAGAAAGTTCTCAATATAAAACAGGAACAGGGATCCTTGTGGTTCACTTCTTGATCTTTTGCTTTTTTCCCTGTTTCCAGCCAGCCTTCGACTTCTTCAGTTGCCCCACCTGCTTTTTCTTCAGGTTGTTTCTCTTCTTTATTGGCTTACCTTCCAGCATGGCCACTTCTTTGACTTTGTTTGGGGACTTCACTAGCTTGGAAAGGGTCTTCGTCAAAGGTTGCTTACGCTCAGGCGACGCGGAAAAAGCGCTACCATTTACCTTTGACTTGGATACTTTGGATGGTGATTCGCTTTTAGGCACTTTCTGATCTGTTTCCGGGGCTTTGTTCACCTTCTGTAGCTCCTGCTGTCGCTTCTTAGATGCCTTCCCTTCTGCTTTAGAAGAACCATTGCCATTGGTTAGCACCGCCTTCTCCTGCTGCTTCTCTGGCTTTGGCTGGTTGAACGCCTTGACGGGCTTCTCGAACACCTTGACCACGTACTTGGTCTTGGTCTCCTCCAACTTCTTTTTCTTTAGATCCTGCACGATATCTGTGAGACTAGGCTTGCCAGCACGCTTGCCCAATAGCTTGCGGGGAACCTTGTCACAAGCTTCCGCCTCCTCCTCGATGGCGGTCTCCAGTTGCTCCTCGTCTTCCTCCTGCTGCTCCTTAGTCAGCGGTATGGTGTTGGAAAACTTCTGCAGCTTGGCCACATAGAATCCGTCCATGTTGTGGGTGTGCGGATAGTAGCGCCTGGTTAGATTCAAGCTGGGATGGATGTGGTGCTGGCGGATATTTGTGAAGCCCTTGACGCCAAAGTTCAGGCCGGTATCCACCAGCTTGACGTTGCGCTTCTTAAGCACGTAGTCGATGACCCACTCATTCTCCTCCGGCAGCACGGAGCAGGTGGAGTATACAATAAATCCACCGGTCTTCGATTTTGCGTCCACACAGTCAATGGCCGAGAGCAGGAGTTTACGCTGCAGGTCGCAACACCTCTGGACATCCAACTCCGACTTGGTGGTCTTCACACTGCGATCCTTGGAGACCGCACCAGTGCCGGTGCAGGGAGCATCGAGCAGAACGCGATCGAAGCCGTTGATAATTTTCTTGAACTTGGTACCATCCTCGCAGGTGATGATCGCATTCACAATGCCCAGCCGATGGAAATTGTCCTGGGTAGCCTTGACGCGATCCCGATTGAAGACGTTGGCGATCAGCATACCGGTGTTCTTCATAATCGAGACAATGTGCGCTCCCTTGGCACCAGGGGCCGAGCACATGTCCAGGATGCGTTCGTTCTCCTGCGGAGCGAGCGCCATTACCGGCAGCAGCGAAGAGGCACTCTGGCACATGTAGTGACCGGCCAAGTACTCGGGTGTGGCACACAGCGGCACCGTCGAGTTGAAGACCACCAGTCCCACCTTGGTCCACTTGCCCAGGGGATCCGAATAGACGCCACGATTGATGAGAGCAGCGGCCAAGTCTCGACGTCGTGTCTTCAGAGTGTTGGTGCGAATGGTTAGTGGACGGGCCACCTGAAAGTACGAATAAAAAAAATTGTAGTGCGTTTAAAAAGCTTCTTTGCAGGCTGACCCACCTCCGAGGCCTCGAGGTACTCCACGAGTTCAGTTAGCGGGAACATGTCCATTAGCTTCTCCATCAAAAACTCATTGTAGCTGTAGTGCAGGCACAAATCCTGGCGCACCAGCTCAATGTACTTCCCGCGAGAACGATCGGCCTGGCGATAATTCTTGAAATCTGACAAAACCAAGATAACGTCCTTGGCCTCACGCTTCTTAAGCTTTTTGTTGACATGTTCGTCCCCGGAAATGTCAAAGTCATTCTCCAAATTGGCCTCAATGTCGGAAAGATCGGCCAGTTTGCCGACCTGAGCGGTGTCTTCACCGGACGACGATAAAGATGAAGAACAGGAGGTGGACTCTTCATCTTCAGAGGAGGAGGACTCTTCTTCATCTTCAGAGGAGGAGGAGTCTTTATCTTCAGAGGAGAAGGAGGACTCTTTCACATCATCATCCTCATCCTCCTCAGACTCGAGTTCTGGAACCTTCTTTCCCTTTTTGGGATTCAGCCAAGCATCATTGTCGTCTATGAAGCCCTTGGGAGCTGGGGATTTTGTATTTGTATCCTTTGGAGCCTTAACTTGCTTGAAGAACGCCCTCGGCTTGGCTGGCGTATTGGGTGGCTTTCTCCAGGGCTGCCTACGCTGAGGAGTGGCAGGAGGCTTCCATGGTGACTTGCATTTAGGTTCTTTCTGGTCTTCTTCTTTCTTCTGAAGCTCCTGCTGTTGGTTCTTCTTAGATACCATCATGTTTATGATGGTTTCGGTCAAAGGGTCGCTCCATCGAGCATTCTTTTTTGGCTTTGGCTTCTCGAAACCCTTGCCCACGTGCTTTTTAAACTTTTTCTTCTTGGAATCCTTCATCATATCTGTCAGAATGGTCTTGCCGGCACGCTTGCCCAATAACTTATGGGAATCTTTAGCATTCGCTGCCGTATTCTTTTTAGTTTCTGCCACGATGTAGACTTCCATCTCCTGCTGCTTCTTCATTAGCTTGGTCTCGTAGCCGTCCATGATTCGGAATGTACTGATAAAAGTGATGAAATGATGACGGTGCTAAAGGTGCTGACGTTTAAGTCCAGGCAGGTGGGACCCAGTTTGACATTGAATTCAAAGGTTACTGTTTTCTATCAACTATGGTTGCCTTTCTTTTACAACATTAATTTTTACAACACTTAATTTTTTTTTTATATATAACTTATTAAATTTTAGTTTTCCTAAAAATGAACCAGAAAATGTATCAATTTAAACGTCAAATTTAATTTATTAATATATAAAATCGTTTACTAATCTGATAATATTGAATACATTTATATTACTAATTTCTAAATTATTAAATTGTTGTTGTCTGCTGGTTAATAAAAAAGATTTGAAAAAGTTTGCAACAAAAAAACGTTAGGCATTGGCGTTGCCAGGTCGTTTTATGAATCTCGCACCTACCACTCTGACCTAGGCTCGCTGGTGCGAAACTAAACGTAAAAGGCTTACGTTTCATTTGTAAAGTATTGCATACTTTTCGTAAAACGTAAAATGCTTATGTAGAATGAGTGTAATTTACGCCTACACGGAATTTACACAAGAATCTAAATAATATATTTTAATTGGATATAATAATCAACACTTTGAGCATTAGAATATTTATAAGAGTAGTTAAATATAATTCAGAAATAATAATAATAATTCAGAATTAATAATTACAAATTAATAATACAATATATTAAAAATACTTTAAATAATAAAACCATTTTTGATTAAAATAAAAGTAAAAAATATATGTAATATCTATTAAAGAAATAAGTAAAAATGTTGTACTAAAAAAATCTTAAATTAAATATAAAGGAAGAATCAAAAATAAAGAAATCTAATTATCATGCCCTTTCTTTTTTTGAAAGACCTAAAATAACTTTTTATTGATTAAATTTCTTTAAGAATCGCTCTAAGTTAACTTAAGAAATTAATAACAGTTTTTTACCTATTTATTTGCATCCCTTTTTCTGATAAAAGGACCAAGGCTCAGTTGCCATTCTGAGCCATAATTCCCATAAGGGAATCCATTCACCTTTTCATTGCCAATCATGCTTCTATTTCGCCCTCCAACCTGTGCACTTATGTCTCTCAATTCACCCTCTGCTCGCAGTCAGCGCAGCTCGGCTCTGCTGGGTAAAAAATTAGCACATCCTCAGCGCAGATAAACGCATCCTTAGAGCGGATACAGTGCCACCTCCACCTCCGCCTCCATGTCGCAGCCATCCCTTCGCACAGAGAGCGGCCCAATTAGTGCTGCAGTAGGCATTTCGAATCCGTGCCCACAAATCGGCTAATCCGCAGTGGCACTGCCCAAGGGATCGGGATCGGGACGAAAGAGGCCCGAGATCCTGGCTAAATGTTGACAAATACAACACCTACGTTACAAATAAAATTGCTACAGAAGTACCACCTAAAAACGGGCACACAACCGGAACGACTTAATTTTCACAAATTTACAGAAACAGAATCAGAAACAGGAATTGGGATAGGAATGGGAATGGAAACATGGCAGGATATCTCGACGCCGCCACTGAAGCTGTGGGTTTGCTCCCGCCGAGCGAAGGATCCTGATTCCTGAATCTTCATTTCCAATCCCAATTTCCAGTCGGAGTAGCCAGCGTCCTGCAGCTCACTCGAAACCGCCACTCACCGTGGCTAATTGCCCATCAATAAAGGCCCGAGGAATTCCTCCGAAACTATGTAGAATCCGAGAGTCCTCAGCTCCGCTACGTTCTGGTGTTGCTCCAGGACGAGCAGCGGCTCTCAGGGAACTCTCAGTATCGTATGCTACATGCCGAGCAACCAAAATATTATGGTGTGTCCCGCTGTTCGTGCACAGTCAGCGCGAATTTGCTGCGGTAAGTCGATGCTGTTTTCCGGGACCTCTTCTTCTCTGCTTCTCCTCCTTCCTCCGTCTCCTTTGGCGGCACCTTGGTCCTGTCGCTCTGTCGTCGTTGTTTTTCCTTGATTTGACATGTCTGTTAGCAGGATGCCTGACCCTGAGTCAGAGCCAGAGCCCGGCTATGTGTGTTCCACTTTGATGTGATTCGTCAGTGCGGTGGACTACTGCTACTGTCCCCTGGAACCTTGGTCCTGGGTCGCTGTCCCCTCTTGTGTCCCTTTGACCCTGCAATCTGCGGCTTTCCAGCAGCGTTTGTTGGCGAATCTGCGCCGGGGCCCCTGCTGCTCCCTTCGCATCTCGGGATTCGTCACAGATTCACAGATTGGATTGCCTCGGAGACCGCAATGCGCTGTATTTATAGTAAACGTGTCCGATTGATTTGGCCATCTGTGGGGAGTCATCTTTGTCGTCGGTCACAGGTTCCCCCAATTTGCATCTCCAAGAGCTAGTTTGCCTTTACCTGGGAATATATCACTGGAATGGGCCATCAAGGCGGTGTCATTTTATGTTGACAGCTCTCTTATTTCACACCAAATAACGTGTGACCTTTGCCTGAGTAACAAGACTCTATTACTTTTAACTTTGGTTGGTTTTTTTTTTATAGAAATAGCGATGGGGGAGGGTCTTTGGTTCTAAAACAATTTTGTTTTTAGATTAATTTTTGTATATTAAATGTTATAGTGAATGGTGCTGGGCGAATAAGTGATGCAAAATATTATTTAAACAAACCATATAGTTTCTTAACCCTTTTTCCTAGGAATATCTTAAGCTTGTAATAGTTTTAAGGATTTCTTTAGGTTATATCAATTTATAAATTAAGCATACAACATATTATATTTTTAAATATTTCAAAAATGAGTTTATAATACATTTTTAAGAGCTTCATTCGATAACAATTGGAGGCAGAGTTAAAAATATACAGAACAAGTTCCTAAATTACTAGACAATTTTGTATTTTCGTTGTTGGTAGATTGGTGATATTAATTATTATATGTTAATGAATTTTTAAATTTTATTAATTTTTGAAATTTTGTTCTGTGCCACTACCTGAATTATAAAAGGTTTTTCCGAATTCTTTAGAATTTATAAATGCGCATGAGTATATAAAATATTTTGTTTTAGTAATAAAATTAATATAGATCTTAAAAAACACACATAACTCGAGTAAAGGGTAAAATAATATACAAGTTAGTTTAATAAGTTAAGCTTTATGAGATATTTAACTTCAAAACTGGAAAAAAAACTTCTTATAGTATATTTTTTATTGTTATTATTTTATTATGCTATGTTACACTTATAATTCTTGCACTAGTCACGTATAAAAAATAAATGATATAAAGAATTTGAATAACATTTAATAAGGAATAACTAAAATTGATGGGGATTATCCTATCTTAAAGGGGTAAAATGGGAGTATATCCCAAGGCCGACAATTAAAATACATATCTAAAAGGCATGCTTTCTGCAAAAAGGACGAACGTAACTTTAAAAATCACTCACCTTAAGCTTTTTCCACATGTTTGTTTAATTAAAGATAATATAGTTAGCTTTCTGTTAATTTCTTGCAAAGCATCTTTTGAATATTCCATATTTTAACAATCATTTTATCCACCTTATAGTTTCTTATTAAATTTATGGTAATTAATGAATTCAATCATTATAAAAAATGAACTCATTAATGAGAGCTGACAATACCTAATTGATAATGGCTTTTCTCAGCTCCCGCCAGCCGCTACTCATTGATATACATAGTTCCCCGGAACAATCGATGTGTAAAAATCCCGAAGACGACCAAAAAGATGGTCCTAAAAAAGAAACCGCTAATCATTGAGAGGCACAAAGAACGGACAATCGCTCACCTAATTATTTGGCCCGATTGTGAGCCGAGAGGACAGGACTCAGGACTCACGGCTCGTGGACGCTTTTTGTGGCCTCTTTTTGTTCGCTGACAAAAAGCGAGCCAATTTTTTTCCTTTCTGGGCCACTTTGTTGCTCTTTTTATGAGTTTTTTCCATTGTCATTTTTTCCCCGGACCCCGGGTCCTCTGTCCGCTGCCCTACAAACCTCCTAATTACGGCAGTTAGTCGTTGTCCGTACAAGCGGACAGCCGGACAAGCGGACGGACAGGCGGACAGCGTGTAATAAACGCTCGCATTTCCACTAAAAATTGGGCCGAGAGACGGAAAAAACTAGGTAGGAGCGATGAAACAAGCATCCGGACGCGCCTTTTTATTGGTGCACCTTCGGCGGAACCGCAGGACAGCGCAAGGATCTCCCGGGCAGGACCTCGGGCGACCTCGCTGACATTAGAAAACTAGATCAGTTTTTTGTGTTGTTTCGCCCTGCTCTGCTTTACTTTTACCAAAACGCTTTATGCTTTATGGTTTATGGCCCCGTTTCCCAACCATATTCCCATTTCCCGCTCCATTGTACCAGTGTCTATATATATATATATGCAGATTTTTATGGCGATCGCGGCTATCTAGTTCGCGGAACGAGAGCGGGAGTATCCTGCAGTGAGACAGGGACCTCGTCCTCGACGGACGTCTTTAGGAAAGTAGATCACGTTTTTTGTTCCCATTGTTGGCTTTTTTCGCTGCGCTAGTTTTTTTCCCCGAACGCAGCGAACTGCTCTAATTTTTTAATTCTTCACGGGTTTTTATTTATTGTGCTCCTGGAAAAACGCGTCCTCGCAACCTTCCACAAGGTTAGCGCTCTACTTACCTGTAACTCGGACTGCTCTCGTTTTTATGCATTGGCATTCATATTTTTATTATGAGAAGGTCCTTTTGCCTGGGCATAAAATGTTCTAGTTTGTTTTTGTGCTGCGACAATTATTGGAAAATTGGTACTTTCCCTGGAGGAAAATAAATAAATATATCTTTAGGTTGTTGCCATCATAAAAATGTCTAGTACTCAAGCTGTGTTGAGTAGCCATTAAAGTCCCGAGCTCAACTATAATAGTATCTCCTCTTTTTATTGATTTTTACAAAAAGCTACTAATGCTTCGGCTGTGCTGAAGAAATATTCTCAAATCGCTCTCTTTTTCAAATGGCTTTTTATGGTATTTGTTAGTAAATTAAAATACTTATGGTAGACCATGCTTC